CAGAGCTCTACTCTGTTTATATCATCATTTGCCATTGACTATTATGGCTATTGGAAGCAGAATTATGCTGCTTAAATGGCTCCAATTGAATACATATTTCATTGTATACTTTCAGACTTAGAGTACAGCAGAGACATTTAGAAAACAGTATTTAAACATTTTCTACATACAAGGTGTAGACTAGTTTGTGGTATGAAGGATTGGAAATGAACCTACAACGGCTAAAGATGTAAAAAGACCAGGGTTTAATACTACGGGGTTAGTGGAAATCGAATTTACCCAGATAACTGAATTTAAAAGGTTCTTAATGAACTATGAAGATAGCAAAAATTTGCTTGTGTGCTCCATATGATGTGTATGCTGCAAATGCGTGACACTTGATTTCCATGTGGAGTATTATTTACATAAAGTTCTATTGATTAATCAATTTATTAGTATATATTTTCAAAGGTATTTAGAATTACTGACAAATTCTGATAAACAAAGATTTCCTACTTACGTTTAAGAAAACTCAGAAACTTTTACAAGAATAAATTGGCCGGGGCGTACGGGCGAAGGGGAGGCGGGTCGCGGAGCTGCGGGGTGGTACCCTGCCCGGGCCGCAGGTAGGAGCGCCCGCAGTGAGGCTGCTGCTGCAGGGTCCGCCCGGTTGCCGCATCCTCCTCCCGCGCGCCGTCAGGCCTCGAGAACTACAACTCCCTGCACGCCTCCGGCCCGGAGGGGCAGACGCTGAGGCAGTGGCCCGGGCCACCTCTGGTCCGCGGGGTCTTCGCCTCGGTGGCAGCCGCGCGGCTAGCGGGAAGCGAGCCATGGAGGACGCGTCACCCCCCGACGCTGGGCTGCAACAAGCCGTACCTGGAGAAGCTGTCCCTTGGCATCACCCGCATCCTAGAATCTTCTCCAGGTGTGACAGAGGTAACTATCATAGAAAAGGCACCTGCTGAACGTCATGTGATTTCTTCCCGGGAACAAAAAAATAATTGTGTGATACCTGAGGATATGAAGAACTTTTACTAGATGACCAATGGCTTCCACATGACCTGCAGTGTGAAGGTAGATGAGCACATCATTCCACTTGTCAACATGGCAATTAATAGCATCTCAAAATTAAACGAACTCAACCAGTCTTCTGTGTGTTCACTTCCTAATGTACCAACTCTGGCAGACCTGGAGGATGACACATACGAAGCCAGTGAGGACCAGCCAGAGATGCCTCATTTTGACTCTTGAAGTGTGATATTTGAGCTGGATTCATGCAATGGAAATGGGAAGGTTTGCCTTGTCTACAAAACTGGGAAACCAGCATTATCACAAGACACTGAAATCTGGTTCCTGGATAGAGCATTATATTGGCTTTGTTTCACAGATACTTTTGCTGCCTATTACCGCCTGCTCGTCACCCACCTGGGCCTGCCCCAGTGGCAGTATGCCTTCACCAGCTATGGCATTAGCCCACAGGCCAAGCAATGGTTCAGCTTGTGTAAGCCCATCGCCTACAACACAGACCTGCTCGCTGGAGAGACCGACTCCTTCATGAATAAGCTAGATCCAAGCAAAGTGTTTAAGACCAAGAACAAGACTGTAATCCCAAAGAAGAAGGGACCTGTTCAGCCTGCCAGTGGCCAGAAAGGTCCTTCAGCTCCCTCAGCCTCTAAACCCTCATCCAGCTCTGCAAACCCTATCCGCAAATGAACACCACCTCCATCTCTCCACCAGCCTCATGGTAGTGATTTCCATGCACCTGTGGCCCTCGGAATGGCCACAACCTGATTCTGTGTAATTGTAAGCATCTTCCTGAGTGACCAAAATCTTCCCACTGACAATGGCTGGGAATTGGAAGGGCATATGTACTGAAATTTACCCAAGCGTCCTTCCCTTACATTCTTCCTAGTAGGTTGCGCGAGTCTCTGCCTCAAAAAGCTGTATAGAATTTTAGATCTTAAGTGGATGGAGAAATCCATTAAGAGCTTTCTTTTCTTTGCACACCTAACTTGTAGTCTCTTAGCAATAATTGGAGAAGTCTCCTAAAAGAAACACTAGCTTTTGACTTGAGAAACATTGGAACTACACAGTTGAATAAGTAGCCCCTAGTCACATGTGGCTATTTAAGTACATGAAAACTTCTTGTCCTCAGTTACCTTTACATTTGAAGAATTCACATGGCTAGTAGATTCCACATTGGACAGTACAGAGATGAAGAATGTTTCCATCACAGAAAGTTTTGGACATCACTACATCAGAGTATTCTCATACTGATCTTCCTCAAATCAACTTATTTTTGTTGTCAAGTAATGTTAATGCCTTAACTTCATGGGTTGTAATATTTCATGAAAACTTTGAGTATATAACTGTATAGTCTTTACCAGGAAAATATGTCATTGTTAATTAGTTTTCTATAAACTTCCTCATCAGTTTCATGTAAAAAAAAAAAGAATAAATGAATAGCCAAGCTCTTTATAGAAAAAATATATACTTTATTTCAACTAGAAAGGTGCAAACATGTAACTTTTGGTCATACTTTCTCCAAATAAACTGTCTGAAAAACAGTCATAGTCAAAGTACAAACAGGTGCTTCCAGGGGGAAAATTGACCAGCTGTGTAGTCATCTTTGAATACAGGACATTTATTCACCAGAAGCGAGGTCACCATGCTCCCTACAGCCAGGGACCCCAGGACCTCCCCTTCAAGTCATCTCTCTGGATGAACCGTCACTCTGTTAAGATTCTACCCAGTCTCCACCCCAAGCTTCCAACAATCAGACAAGCTTTCTGGCCTACCCATGCTGTTCACAACATGAGGCTAACCTTTGAAATACCCAAGCATTAAGAACAAGAACAAAAAGGCACAAACAATTTTAAATTAACTTAGATAACTGTACAAATATATATATATATCTCCACAATATTTACAATATTAATAAAAAAAATCTGGCTTGTTACAGGCAAATTAACTTGCCACAAGCTGTCCAGTCTAATAGACAGGATTCTGACTCCTGAATACTGTCATTGGAATCAGTGTCACAGCTGAGCCTGCTGCTCTGGTTTCAAGAACAAACGCGACTCAGCCCCGGGGTGGCTGTAGAATGCACACCCTTCCTAAGGATGGAGCTGCAGGGAGGTCAGAGAGCCTGTAACATTTTCCTTCCCGAGAGCATGCTCCAAACAGCAGGCTTGTCACTGCTTTCAGATGACATTCGGTGGCACTGGCCTCTGCAGGTGTCCTCGCTGCTCCTACAGCCACACCTTCCTTGGTATACATTCTGGCACTATTTGCTAATGTCATCCCACTGTCAAGTCTTAACTTTCTTCAAACCAGTGTCTGGGGTTGGTAGATTATTTGTGCGACATAGCACAATGCTTTGAATGGAGTGGGAATCTCCCTCCCCAGCTAGAAAAAACTTAAATTAACATGTGCTATTGAAATCATTTTTACATAAAAATGAGATGTGAATTAGTTCAAGTTACAGACTAATGAGTTAATGGAGTTAATGTCCTTCACTTTCTGGCTTTAGGCCATGTCTCCATACATTGTCTTGTGGTACAGGGACTCAAAGATGTCATTGTCACCAGGACAGTTGTAATGGCAGGCGCAACTCTTGATGAACATCATGCTTTTCTTCATGATCTCGCCATCAGGACACTTGAACTCCACAGGCAGGGTGGTGGTGGCATGTGGGGTGCAGCACCTGCCGTCTGTACATACCCCGCAGAACTTAGCCCGGTAGGTCTTCACGCTGGTGCAGCCAGACAGCTCAAACTTGACAGGCTTGTAGATTTTAGGGGTCCGGATGCACTTTTTGCCCTTCTAAGGAAGACAAGGGAGAGGAGAAACACCCATTACTAAAGGGGTAGCAGCTTTCCTCCACCGGCTGTGTTCTAAGACTTGTGCTACCTGATTTCTATTTCTGTTTTGAGCACAGAAACTTTTGAGTTTCATTTGCCAGTTTTCCAAAAATAGCCCCGGCCTTCCTGGGAATGTACTGAGTTAACCAGCTGAGGAGGGCTATGCATGGGGGCGGGGGGATGGGCGACTTCTCTTACTCCACCTCTTATTTGGGCAAAACAGCTCCATGGTTAGGTATTTTTGGAGACAACAGGTCTTTAACAACAAGGGTGGCAAAAGAACTAACTCCGGTCTTTTTCCTTAGCATTCCGTGGAAATGAGTTTATAGGAGCGCAGCACGAACCTTAATGTTTTCTTCCAGGTCCACTTCGCAGGGCCGGACCATGCACAGGCGACTCTGCTTCTCCAGCCGGCAGTAGGCGTTGTCATTGGTAACCCGGGTGGAGAGGCCCATCCCGCAGGTCTTGGAGCAGGCGCTCCACTCTGTGGTCTGGACCAGGCAGTTGGCTCGCATCATCGTTGGATCGGGGCCAAATGTGTCTTCCAGTCGATAGGCTGAGAGAGCGGAGCACACAACCAAGGTAAACGCCTGGATAGGACAACTTCTGCCCGCCCTTGGCATGCGTAGGGCTCAGCCCTGTGGCCCAGTGACAGTGCCGACCTACAGACACAAGCCACTCACCAGCCAGCGCGGGTCCCACCGCAGTGCTGTCCTTGGGCTGGTCGCACACCCACTCCTCGCAGCACTTGCCGGGCAGCTTGACCCTTCTGGGGAAGGGGCAGTCGGGGCTGGGCAGGCGCACGTCCACGCTGCACAGGGGCACGCAGCCCACCGCTCCGTCCAGGCACGTGCACTGGTACTTGCAGCTGCTATGAAAGGTGTCTCCGCTGCGGTACACCTTCCCTCCGAACACGCAGGGGGCACCCCCTTGGGCTGCAGGGAGAAAGGGAGGGACAGAGGTCAGGCTGCGCGGGCCCTGGAGATGCTCAGGGCTGCAGGGGGCGGGTTGCAGACTAGGGCGCTGGTGAGCGGGGTCTCCCTCCAGCAGGGCGGGAGAGAGGGACGCTCTAGGTGACCGGACCCCCCCGGGGCAGCGGGGCGCAGGCGCCGCCGCGGCTCTTACCGGTGCACACGCCGATATTGCGATTGGACGCGGAACCGAAGTCACAGGAGAGGCCCTTGTGCGGGTCGCAGGGGTGGAGCTGCGTGCACAGCTCGCCCAGCTGCTTGGCGCAGACGCGGCAGCAGCCGCAGCCGTCGAGGACAAGGCTCACGCCGAGCGGGCAGCGCGGCGCGGGTTCGGAAGCGCACTGGGCGCACTGAGCGCTGCAGTCCTGGCCAGAGCCGAGCTGCGGGGAGAGGCGCGAGCGTCAGCGCCGGGGGCGGCCGGCAGGGAGCAGGTCTTCGTTCTCTCTTTGTGCCGGCTGCGCCGGGCGCTTACCTGGCTGCAGAGCGCGAGGAGGAGCGCGACGGCGGCAGCGGCGGGAGCCATGGTGGCTGGGGCGAGGGCGCAGAGGTGGGTGCCTGGGCGCGCTGCGCTGCCGGGGTCTCAGGGGCTGTCGGCCGGGGCGGCTGCTGTCGCTGGGCGGGAGGCGATCGTCGCCGGCGAGGTGGTGGCGGTGGGAGTGACGCTGGCTACCTCCTCGGAGCGGGGAAGAGCTGCTGTGTGGGGCTGTGGCGAGCGCCAGGCCTTTTATACGCTGCAGGCGGCAGGCGCGCCAATGGGCTGAATGGAGTCCCACACAAACAGGGACATTCCTCGCATTCCTCCCCACCTTCCTGCCCCATCAACTCACACCGGATTGATCCTGACCCCTTGACACTCAGCATTCCTCCGTCTGAAAAAGCTGGCACACTCCAGCTCACCAGAAAAAAAAAAAAAAAAAAAAAAAGGCGCAGTATTTCCAACATCAAATAGGAGTTTTTTCCTATGAGCGTCTGCTTCTCAGTACTTCTGATTTCTATCGTTTAAAATCACACTGACAATTATGATTCTTTTTTCTCTGTAATAGTTTTGTCCTGGTCTGGCATAAATCCTTTTTAGGAGGTGGGTAGCTGAAGAGGCACACAGGGATTCCTGCAAAATTCTAAAGTGTTTCTTTCTCTTTCTTTCTTCCTTCCTTCTTTCTTTCTTTCTTTCTTTCTTTCTTTCTTTCTTTCTTTCTTTTTTTTTTTTTTTTTTTTTTTTTTTTTTTTTTTTTTTTTTTTTTTTCTGTTTTTGTAGTGATGTTCATTTAAGAGGCTGCTGGGTCTCGAAACTAGGAACACCAGCAAGTTGCTTGGAACCGTTAGAGATCCTCAAGATGCTTACCTGGAAAATTCTCAATTCTGTATCTGAAAGACTTGGATCCTTTGTCTTTTGAGATAACGGTTTTGTGGCTCACAGCCAGGAAGAAAGGGAACAAAGTGAGAGTCTGGGGAGTGCAGGTTCCCGGGTCCGTTCCAGTGTTCTTACTTTGCTTTCTCTTAGTGCGTGGGACACTGTTTGAGTTGTTGGAGGTTGGGGGAGGAAAAGAGGGTAAGTGGCCATCAGTGTTTCCAGAAAAATGGGTCTACTAATGTCAGAGCGAGTGACTGTGGGCTAGGTAGGTAGAAGCTTGGGGTGTCAGGATGGGCTACAGGGGTGGGAGAAGAGGGGACCAGACAGGAGGGGCCCAGCAGAAGCTTGGGGTTCTATAGGGGTGTTTTAAACACAGCTGCACTGTGGTCTTTAAATGAGTGATTTTACTTATACCAAAAAGTGTAGTCTTCAAATATGGATTGAACTTGGTTTGTCTTAAAGTGTGTGTGTCTATCTATCTATCTATCTATCTATCTATCTATCTATCTATCTATGATTGTATAACAACTATCAAGTACCCTGTTGTGTCTGGTTATAAACTGTCAGGGACTAATATGTCTTCAGTGGCTCCCCACACATGGGTGAATAGTGACTGTGACCTCTGATGACCCAGGTGTGTGGAATGAAATCAGGGAAGAATGGGTTTTACCCCCTGCTGTGTGCAGATGTCAACTAGGCAAGCCGAAGACTGTCTCCCATCTTTGTACTGCTACTTAGCTTCATTGAGGACCCAATTAATTAGCTGTGCACTCACTTAGCATCTGTGTCATTTAACTGGCTTTTTTGTCACTAGCTTCCCTTACCATTTTGTGGCAAGGAGTGTGATTCTAGGGCCATGCCGCTGCCATATCTGTCTTCCCTAAGGCCTCCTCAGCTGACAGTGGCACCAGCCTCTCCAGTGAGTGGCTTCCTTGCAGCTGTTGCTGCTTCACATTCCAGGCTTCAAGGTAAGCATATCTGTTTCTGATGTGAAGATAAAGTGAAGAGAACACGCACTGTGGGTTCGTAGCTTGAAGACAGCCCATGCAAACTGACCAGCACTTTTAAGGTTTCAGTTCGTTATACTGGAAATCTACCAAAAGGGAAGAAGTACAACCAACTTCAGCACTGGCTCTATCATCTGAGCACACTTACCTCGTTACGCAAGCCACATGTGCCACAGTGCAGATGCAGGGCCACGGTGTGAATGGCCAGCAAGGGCCTCTGAAGCCCACGAAGAATTTTCCTCATTGTTTTTTAATGTTCTTTCCAGGCATTCCTCAAAGAGAAGAGGCCTGTTAGTTCCTATTTAAAGAAGGAACATTCCAAGTTATGTTAATAGCTGCATGTGTATTAAAGGCAACTTGGCCCCCCACTTTCTCTTCCCCTGTGGATGATTTTTAAAAGCCTAAAATATGTGGGAAGCCACAGCGAAATCTTTCAAGACCTAAACCTCCAATTATAGCTACCACTAATGGGTGGAAAGGTGGGGTGGAAGGGAAGGAGGAGGGGCAGAAAGCACGAGCCTCATCTAAGGTGGGATGTGGGTTTCATGGCGAGCTCTGTAGCCTGCAGTGTGAAGGACATGGGACAGCCAGCAGCAGGGACTTTGAAAACCTCAGGAGAGTCTGTCAGCCGCAGCCAGCAGCTTTGTGCTCACAGTGAGGAGCCCCATTCATGAAGAGGATGAGCTGCCCAGGGGGGTGACAGGGGTTATATTCTTAGAACTGCCATTCACAAATCTCAGGGAAGTTATTACAAGTAGGAGCCATCTCCTCAGATTCCCATTTATAGAAGGAAGACACTGAGAGTTTTGAAGTTCATAGAGTTCAAGGAGGGTTAACTAGATTGAAGTTCTCTTGGTGCTTCAACTTTCTTACCTTTCTCTACGCACCTGAGAATGTCACTCTTTTGTGGTATTGTTCAAAATGTCATGACACTATAAAAAGAATTTGATTGCAGTAGAAAATTCAGATGGTCTCTCTAATCTCAGTAGGTTCATAGCTCCAAGGGGCTGGTTTTTAGATTGACAGAAAGAAAACGAGCATCTTGAAATGTACAAAACACATGAAACATCTCAGTAGAAAATACGTTGTGTGTTTTTAAACTTGAGTTCAGGCTTTATGACCAAAACTCTTTTGAAAGAGTTAAAAGATCATTGCTAATAGAGTCACTGAGATAGACACACACACACACACGCGCGCGCGCGCACACACACACACACACACAGAGAGACACACACACAGAAAAAGAATGAGAGAAGACACCCAAGACATTCACAGACTCGAAAGTATGTTTTTATTGTGATACAGACCATCAAGTGCCAGGAAATTTAGAGGAAAGGCTGACACTGTGTCCTCGGTTCCTGCCACGGCATATGAATTCTTGCACTATTATAAATGACTCAGCAAATGTTTGTGTGTGCTTGGGTGGGAAAGTGGAAATAGTGGCTTCTTACAACTTCATCCAACTCTGACTTATCCCAACCTTTTGAGTGACAGCAGGTCAGAATCGGGAGAGAAAAAGTTCTTTGAATTGGTGCGCAAGACGGTAAAGGTGGACTCCTTCACACTTGTGGGCAAGTGGTTAGCTAGCAAACTCATTTCCTTGGTAAAATAGGAATGTGCAAAGCTGGCCGCCGAGTCATTTCCCAAGCTAGGTAAGGAGTGTGCGTGTGTCCCGGGCACGGTCTCTGCAGGTCATGTGGTGAAGTCTTGTAAGATGTTTGGTTGTGGGTGTCCTACAGTCTTTCACTTGTGTTCTTTGTTGTCTTCCCCCTGACACTCCCCCAAAAGGTTCCTTGATCAGGTATCAGACAGGGAGAAACCCTGGCAGGGCTACAGGATTGTGGCTAGACTTGGGTGTTTGTGTACTTAAAGAAGGAATCTTGCACTTTTTCAGCTTTTGGCTGTAGACATTGTCTTATAAGAGCAGGCAGAAGCCAGTGCTGGCCCTCCAAGCGGAAATCAAAGCTCCCAGAGAAACAGCAGAGGAATGTGAGTTGGAGCCAAGAGCTAGGCACAAGGTGCACACCGAGCTGCTGGACCTATAGGAAGCCCGCTGCATAAGGATGTGGGGCAGAGTGTGTTGGTCCTTCTGGCCTTGGGGAGTGGGCTTTCCATATTTCTACATGCCCTAGGTTCATTCACATAAAAGAACTCCATCAAAAAGCAACAAGTTACACTGGGAGATTTTGGAAAGACAGTGATAAATATTATCCTGAAATCTCCAGAAATCCTAGCTTGGTTTACATGATCTCCTTTGCTGAAGATGTTTGAAGGTGAGGGAGAGGGCTTGACATTTGGCTTGGGCATTCAGAGGTGGGAGAGAAAGGCTACCTCAATGACATTCCTTCCTTCCTGCTGTTTCTTCCTTATAATTCCTTCTCTGACTTTCTTAGGATGTGTTCTGATGCAAAGATGTTTGTGAGAAGGCAGTGAAGGCTGCCCTATGTGGTTTGTGTTGCATGTTTGTTTATCCATATCCTTGCTTGGGAAGGAGTTGGGGGCTGGAAGGGTGAGAAAGGAAAAGAAGTCTTTATTTAATAGGATATTTCCTACAGTTCACCATTTGTTTCCCTTGATAGTTTAATTAGTCTTGTTCTGATTATTGACTTAGGCCCCTGTGCTGTCTTTTATTTATGGGGGAGTCGGGGTCAGAGAGCATGGGGCTTCCTGGGCCTGCTCTGGTGGTGACTGGTGGCTGAGATGTCCTTTGACTGCCAGTGGAAGGCTCATAGTCATCCCACTTTAGCATAGCCACAACCCCTGAGTGTGTGCAAGAGTCCTCTTAGTGATATTTGAGGTAACATGGGAGGTAACATCTAATGGGAATAGAAAAGTCTTCTTTAAAATGCATGACTGGGGAGATGATTCAGTAGGTTTGGGAGGAGGAGGACAGAATTGTGACAAGCTGGCTTATGTCAAAGGATGGGAGGGAATGAAAGGATGGAGGTTCTAAAAGAACTGGGTAAAGTAGCAGGGATGTGCCTGAGGGAGTTCTCTGGGGTAGAAGGTGGTCGGACTCACCCCATCCGGGCCTCCTGGGCAATGTGTTTTCCCCTCCACCTGCCTGGGGCACTGTCCCGGAAAGCCTTTTTGATATCTGCTAGAGACTAGGGGAAATGTTCTTAGCTTAAGGACACTGTACTTACGAAGCACTTCCTTAGAAGGAATCAGGGATATAGAAGTCATCAGGGACTCAAAATTACCCTTCTCTTCCATTCTTCAACGGATAAGCTGTTTTACCTTCAGGCAAGGCAAATTCTGACTTGAAAAGCCCATAACTTGGCTTGGTAGAACTCCTTCCCATGCAGCCTGGATTTGGGAGTGTTGGTATTAGAAAACTCAGGGG